GTAATTACAACGTACGCCCGCGTCTTCACTGTGACCACAGTTGTGACTTCCCACTCCACCATGGCTGCATGAAATTAGCGATGACTCATGACCTGAACAACCAACATTGTCAAGCCAAATCTGTCCAATCCCTTGACCAAAATGAGCTCTCCCGTAAGCAGCCTGAGCATCTGGAAAACCAAGCTGTCTGCAGACAACACGAGCATCTCTGATGTCCCAGGAATCATCACAAACTGTTCCCCATCTACCATTATAGTAAACCTCCACACGTCCTTCACGTTGAGAACCGCCAACAAGTCGTAAGGCTAAAGGTTAAAAATATTAATAATTATATCGTGTACAGCAGTTAAAACACCTAAAGATTACACAGATATATTAAGAAAAAAATTCCCAGTAACTGAGGAAGCTAGTCTGCGATTGAGGGTTAAGAAAGATTGAAAAAAATATTCGAAACCAGGTAAAACAGTTACCAAATAAAAGCCTCGGCTTCTTTGAATGTATATTGCATGGTGAAAAAAGGCAGCAAAATGAATAGATGGGGTGTCAAGCCCCCTGAAGACGTCTTAACGGCAAAATAACGGATTTATCGGCAAATTGTTTTCCTAGTTAGCGAAAATATTTGAGTGGCTCAGAATAAAAGGTAACAGTTATAGGAAATTTTGCTAAAATTACTAAAATTACGGAAAAGTTAACAAGAGACGATATATATCCGAAAAATTTTCGTATATCAGAAAAAATTACGATATGTCGAGAAACTTTTCGTATGTATGTACGGAATAATTACGATATGTCCGGAGAAATTTTCATATGTCCGGAAAAAATCTTGCGACCTCCCCCCCCCCCCGTTCGCCAACAATTTTGTGGAAAAAATATTAATTAGTGACTGAAATGTTGTCGGCAAATGCGAAACAACTCCCTCCCTTCTTTATCCTCTTCGCTATGGCCCTTAGCGTACCACGCGCGTCTTCACTACTGTTCCAGATTTATTTCCTTGTTGCAAACGTCAATTAGTTTTACGTGTATGTGCACTGTACTACCGAAAATACAGGGACCGCGGAACAGGGGGCAGGGGAGCCATGGGCCACCCACTTTTTCGTTCGATAATAACAAATTACAGGATAAAATCCAGGCTGTCCGCGTGGAGTAGCTTCCGTGCTATCCTGCCCCCGCCCCCACTTTTAAACAGGCTTCGCGGTCCCTGAAATATCTTACAAGGAGATTAAAT